GAAGGAAATGTTTCGGATCGTTATCCTGATAAAGCAGGATCCACATTTAAACTGACCTTAGCTGCGACAGAGCAAACTAATTTTAATATGCTGTATCCATTACTTACATAATTCTTGATGAAAACAAAGTTACCGCGCCATTTGTTCCCACTGCACTCCTTACTTCCTGACCATACACCAACAATGCAGCCTCCCCGACTAACAGTCTTATTTAGTTTTTTTTATACTTAGCGGTTAAACCTCTTTGCGCCCTACAAACGACGACCGTCAGATCCAAATAAATTAATTTGGATCATCAATACAAATTCAGAATCAAAGGTTCTTCATCCTTTAAAGTAGTAAATATTTCTCTTCAATTATGGTGTTGTGGTGTATACGCTTTATCGGAGAAAGTTAAAATGCTTGAACATTTTGATGGTGGAGTTTGCTATGGCAGCTTCTTTCAACCCTTGGCGTTAGTGACGACGGAACTTACTTCAGCCACGTTCCACTATTATGAAGTCTTGCAACTCACCTATCCTTTGTATTTATTAATATTGTACTGAACAATAGTATGTGTTTATTGAAAACACTTGCCTATTTCGCTAACTTTTGTTCTGTTGCAATATTTGACTACCAGAGGCTGTAAATCTGTTGTTGTTTATTTATCATTTTTCTTTAAAACTACAACCGCACAAAAGAATTCGATTATCAAATAACACATTTGACCATACGAATAATACAGACCAAAACGCTCCTACTTGATACTACATTTAAAGTGTTGCAGCGAAGTTTACAGTTTTTTTTGCTGATCAGATATGAATAGTTATTTTTCAATAAACATGATTCTGTTTGCGTAGGTACCCATGCATCGCGCTTTCATTTTTGTATCCATCCTTATATATCCAAATGTTTTTGTTTTTACATGCAACTTCTGCTTAAGTGAAATCTTAATTTTCTAACTGATAGCGTAACGATCGGCCTTAATAGCCAGGAATACTAAACTTTATAGAAAATTTCTTTTTTCCATTTTTTTATAGATTTTTGGTTTAAAAAATTCTGCGTAACCGCTGGGACGTCGTGACATACACAAAAAAAACGAGCACAACGCGCCACATCAAATGGTGTTCGCTAATTTCGATATCAGCCCAAATAGCCGAGTTTAAAGAAGTTTTAATATGATCGATCAAAATAGAGATGGTTTCGTGAAAAAGGATTTGCATGATATGTAGTTCTCTAGGAAAAAATCCAACAGACGAGTATTAGAAGCGATGATGAACAAGACCTGGACCTATAAATTTCACATGTTCCTTACCTTATTTGGGAACGCCTACAAGGAACAGATCCTGAGATGTAATTAAAAATGCTTTCGGTTGCTTGATGAGGGAAAATAACGTGTATACCAGGATCGATTGCGCGAGCTATTGACCACAATGGAAGATCGTTTCACCGATGAGGATTAAGTAGCATTTACTTATGTCTATTGGTTAGTTTTCTAGTAAATGAATATGTTTTATTTATATGAATTACATTAGTATTATTTTAAAATTTTGGAATATAATTTTTTTGTATATTTCAGGTCCGAAATGTATCGTGAAGCACTATCAAACACGTCTGTTTGATATATGAGTTCACGAATTTTCTTAAACACGGTGCCAAAGACAAAGATGAGCAATTAAAGCTTAAGCAGACTTCACATTCCTCATAAAAGGATATTGAGCAGATTAAAATTTACCCAAATTTTCTTTATATACATACATAATGCTTCAGTTCATTAGAAAGATTAGAAAAATAATTTTGTGCATGCCAATGTTTCAAGTATTATACATAAAAAACAGTAAAGTGTAATTTTTTAAATTAAAATTGTACATATACATACAATGAGATTTTTTATTCCCTAATATTATGTAATAATATATAAAGAAATATGTATAAATATAAACAAGATAATAACAATGAGAAATAATGATGAAAAGAAGATACAAACATTCAATACTTAGATAAATAGTAGCTGCCAGGTCAGAATTAAATTATTGGAAATAACTTTAAAATACGTAGTAATCCTAAACTTCCTCCGGACAGTCGGTTTACACAATCTTCCTGATCCATGTATCTCCTACCGGTTCTCACGTGACGTCAATCCGCAAGGTGATCGAGGTACAGAAACCTGGAATCCTGCCAACTAGGGGAGTCTGTACGCCCGATAACTCTCCTTTCCCATAGGGAAACACTGAGACCTTGCTACTCCGACCTACAGACACCACCTGAGCCAGCCAATACCAATAGGATTCTGTAAAGTGCACAGCACTTAGCGTCATAAGTTGCAGAGCTCAGTGGCCTTAACAGGAACCTCCCACCTAACTGTCCGCGTTGGACTTGTCAAAGATTTCACAGTCACACAATACCTGCTTGAGGACATCGAACAAACTAGCCCCTTCAGAGAAGAGGTGATCCATGAACTACAACAACAATCAATTAAAGAGTGCTTAACGGGGTTCCGCTGACGACATCCCTGCAGTCACCTCTTGAAACCGAAGCCGCCACCTAGGAACATCAGATAAGAACATCCTCCAACAGCTCGACAAATTGCGACATTATCAACTCAGTTTCGACGCGATTCCTTCAGTGAATGGCGTACTTGAGTCCAAACAACAATATTGCAGAACAAGAGCTCAAGTTGCCGCGTGAACATAGTGAACCTTGCGCAACTTACTCTGGGTATTGGCTGGTTAAATTCTACTATCCAGACTAGCTCCCGACATTACAAAACTATTCCTGCATGACGAGCCCCGTACGACACTGATCGCCTCTTGCATACCCAATGAAACCTACTCACTTAAAATTTGTATGCGATATTAGCATAAATTGCGTGAAAAAAGTGACAGACAACTGATACTGTGCAACGTTTTCCAGAAATTACGAGAGCGTATACTTGACAAATTTGCGGAATCTTAATTTTCTCCTTATTTACAATTTTTCAAAAATTTCTAAAGAGGAGGGTTATTACTATTATTGTCTTATTGTACTTAAACTCACAAAATGGTTCAAATATTTTGTGCAAAAACAACAAATATCAACTTCAGATACAATCGTGCTATTGACGGTAATTCTTAATTTAATTAAAATTTCGATAACTTTTCTTTGACGTTACATATAAGCTTGTCGGTAACGAAATAAATACTGGCAGTAAATAATTGCACCGTACAGCTACTGTGCTGCATATTTGCTGATACTCTGCTGATGTGCAACAAAATTTAACGTTGCCGATTATTTGCATAATATGCGTGCAAAAGTGCCTAGAACGTGATGTCTGTTGCAAGTGTTGCCAAAAATTCACGCAGAACGTGATACTTTGACAAATTTACGGAATCTTAATTTTTCCTTGTTTACAATTTTTCAAAATATTTCTATTATTCTATGCATACATATTTGCATATCATACAAAAATAGATAACAGAATTCAAATTTCGAACGAATGGTATAGATTCATTTGAAACCGAGCGCTCTTACAACCATTCAAAGAATTTAAAAGTGAAAAGGAATGCTGAAAAGGTAGCAGCGAGCGTTACGAACAAGAACACAAAGGATGGCACCCGAACAGGAGTGGCACGTCTCTTCGTCTTTCCTCGTCGTCCCCCTCGCCACAAAAAACCGCTTTGGGTTACAAGAGTCCCAATGTAAACGCACACATACGAAACTCTTTGATTCGAAAGTGCTGTCAAAGGCAACAATTTTATAACATTGACAGTGGTGTAACTAAGGAAGAATAATTTTGAGATTTTAAATGTATTTCTTGGGATTTTCGGTTTTCATATAACAAAAAATATACATAATTAATATTAATAACAACTAGAATATCCTACATGCGGTATAATATATGTATATGTTTATTTTAATCACAAATGATTTTCAAAATATTTTAATATTTCAAACACTTACAAGTTTTTAATAACCTAAGTATCAACATTACTTATTTTTATATACTCAATAAATAATATCTTTTGATAATTTATCGAAAGTCAAAATTACTAACATTGATGGAATTCTAACCAAAATATGTATATACGTTGACAATTGGTACTGCTAGCAAAACGATACTCTGCACCAAATACACGCTCTTTCTTAAAATCAGACTATTTTAAATCACTTTAAATAAAGATTAGAAACACATAAAAATCACCAAAAAATCTGATCACACAAATAACCCACTGATTTCGCAATTTATTTCTGCGGATTCTTAGTGGTAGTTCGTTGTTTTGCTTGTCATCTGTTCAGTAGCTCATGAACTCGTGGTTTTTGTCATCACTGAAAGTTCATGGGCTCTCTCAGAAAGCAAAGAGAAGAGTTTCGTATCATGTATCCATATCTAACATTTTGCTTGGCCTCGCGTGCAAAAACTTGTTAAAGAACTACTCATTACTCATACGTGCATCAACTTTCTCCAAAACAAATGTCTGACGCAATACGAAGCAAAATTCTATGTGAATTGACCATTAGCGCAGAATACCAAATAGTGTTGCCAGATTTTCGCCATGCCGTGACTAAATTAAGTATTTTGAGAAAAATGCAGTATTGGTCGAAACCAGTAATCTGTTCATTCGTACTGCGTAGTTTGTATTACCGAGAACGCCCATGTTGCTTTGCTATATTGCCGCAAGATTGACCCTCTTCATCCCTTACACTATAAAGTTCCTCTGTATTTCCAACAAATATGTACGTTCATACAATCTCGTAGTATTTATATGCTAAAGCCTGTGATTGAAATCGTGTTCACTTTTAGTTTATTAACAGTATCCTCTGCACTTGCCAACCAAAATATCGCATTGGTTGCGTAAAATTATCTTATGACTTTAAATAGACATAGATAAATTTAAAATTTCAATTAAAAGTGAATACTCTGCATCATAGATAAATAATCTTTTCTCCATTTAAACTTACACAAAGATGACTGTTTTTTTTATACTTTTTCTTTTATTATAAATATGCAAAATTATAAAATTCTTCTCACAAGGTAGTTGCTCTTTAATAATATTATATATTAGGAATGAGTAATAAAATAAGCATTCAACATGAAGTTACGTGAATGCTCTATCGGATTTTCTTTTAAGCCTTCTTTTCTTCTTCAATGACTTCTTTGTTGCAAAGATTTTCTCGCACGTTTCAGTGTGTTTCAACTTTTAGAATCAAATTTTCAATGCCAGCAATGAGTTTATCTTTTCTTTTTCTTGTTCGATGCTGAAAAGTCAAGTCAGATTGTTTGATATATATTAAAAAATATAACTAAATATATAAATCAAACATTTGTGTTAATTTATGAAATAGCGAAATGTATAAATTAAAATACTGATATGTATAAATACTAAAAATACTAATGTTCATCGACTTTTTCGATCAATCTTAATTGTAGACACGAAAAAGAGAAGTTACAAAACTTGCTTTGTCTCATAATGAAGAATGAACCAATCTTTACGAAATAAATAAGTATTTCGACCAACACATTTACTTTTACAAACACTGAACTTATTCCATTTGTGTTAATAAAGATATTCATGAGATAATAGTTCATCTGCCGTACCTAGCACATTTTCTTGAAAGATTGCTACATTATTGTTTATACCTCGATTACGGTTTTCAACTAACTCGTTTGATTAAAGTCGAAGCAATTCAACTTCAGATCAACCCAACTCTCTTTTGTATTACGATTTTCAACTAAATATTTTCATTCGAAGTTTGATTGTGTTACCAACATAAAAATAAGTTTGACAGCTGAAATTTTTTACGAAAATTAAAACAATTTAATTTAGTTTTTGTCACAAAAGGTGAATAAATTATAAAATGGACATTAGTTTAGATTTTTAATACGATGACAAAATTTGGAGCCAACTGATGTGCTGCGACAATGATGACAATTAAATGATTTTTAGCACGTTCACGCCGGCGCGATTTTGATGTATTCACCCAACGGCGGTACACAAATATATGAGCGCGCGCCTTTCTAGCGTGTTCAGACTTCCACGCCGTCTTGTTTCCTCAGTAGTCAGTGAGTGCTTACTTTGCAAATTGTGTGACTCGTCCGTTTTAACACGCTTATTTATTTCACTTGTATGTCTGTTTGTAACTAAAAAACTAAACTCAACACGTACAAGTATGCGCAAAATGTTTGCATACTTTTTAACACTCTTTTATTAGCTTCATTTCTTATGTGTGTCTGTCTGTTTGTAATCAAAACTAAACCAACACGACTACAAAGTATGCGCAAAATATTTGCATACTTTTAGGCATTTTTGGCATCTCAAGGAACAAATCAACTGAACGGACAACAAAAATTATTAAATTCCATATTTGGTCTGCCGTTAAAATTTTTATCTATAATATTATTATTTTGTTCTGTCCGTTCAGTGGATTTGTTCCCTTTGAGATGCCAAAATATCCTAAAGTATGCAAATATTTTGCACATACTTTGTAGTCGTGTTGGGTTTAGTTTGGTTAGCCCGCGACGAAAGCTATTAAATAGTTTAAAAAAAATTGGTTAGAGAATCATAACATGAAAATAAAAATTGTAATGCAAAATATTTGTTTTCAATATTTATTGAAAGTAAGATAGTTGCGATGGCTATCGAACAACTATCACTTAATAAACAATAAATATAGTTATATCGAACTAAAAAGTAAAGAGTAAAACGCTTTTTAAAAAATATCGAACTAAAAAGATTGAAAATAAATATAGTTTAAAAAACTAAAGACACACGCTTTTAAAGAATATCGAACAAAAAAGTTGAAAATAATTTTAAAATTAACTTTAAAAACAGTATATAAAAATACTAGTATAATTGAGGAAAAAGCGTGGGCGTTCATACGAAAATTATGGCAAAAAGCACCCTAAGCCTTTTCCTCAATTATACTAGTATTTTTTATATACTGTTTTTTAAAGTTAATTTTTAAAATTATTTTCAACTTTTTCGTTAGATATTCTTTAAAAGCGTGTGTCTTTAGTTTTTTTAAACTATATTTATTTATATCCTGACCACAGATACAACTAGTACACACCGCCCGGTGGCGCAATCAAGCAATCAAATTTTACACTTTTCTATGTATTTGTACATAATAACTGATTATAATAATTTGATATTATAGATATAATAGTTCTTTTTACCCATTTTCCATTTTCTATTAATATTTTTCCTATATAAATTCATTAATGTTTAACTACAACTGCTTGTTAGCAGTGGCAAACCCACTGGCACAGAGAGAGAAAGCCGTAATACGAGTACCAACAAAAAAAAAAGGTTGAAGTTTGACAACACTCAACCGAAATTTTTTTGACGGGTTGAGTTGAAAACCATAATACCGAATTTCAAAACCTCAACCAAAATGCAGCTGAGTTGGAAACCGTAATAGGTGTCTAAGCGAAAACTTGCCTTTATCAGCAACATAATTTGTAATCAAAGTGCATATGTGAATGTTATATGATCAAAAAATAAAATTAGAATTTTCAAGTAATCATATTATAACACTTCAAAAACTTACCTTCCTTATCAGGTAGGGGGTTCTTTTCATTAGTTTCGGTAGGCTTTAAATTTGATGGATCAAAAGTTGCAATTCCAGAGATTAAAGATTGTTGAGTTTTCTCGGCGGCCACATCTGATAGAAGTGCGTCAGAGCAGAAATATAAATTTTTCGATTATACAAGTATAATTGTTTGTATAATTTACCTTCGGCAGTAGGAAGCACGATTTTTTCGTGTGTACTAGCATTCTTTAGTTTATCAGTATTAAAGCCTTCAAGTTGACTTTTCAAGTTCTCAGCTACTTTTGGGAGGTCTTTAAGTGCAGGCGATGCCATTTTTAATCTGAAAATAGAATATTATGTCAAAATAATGCAAAGATCATATTTAAGATTGTTAGCACTAACTAGCTTATATTACTTTTAAGTTTTATTAGATAAACCTATCCAACAATATAGTTATTAATAATTTTATTATGTTTTCCGTTAAATTTTCAATACTTACAATTCTAAAATGGGCATATGTAGATACATTAACCATAAAATTATTATAGATTCATTTTAAATTAAATTAAATAATTCCTTCGTATATAAATATTATAAATTACATAATTTGCTTTAAGGAAGCACAAATTACGAAAGAAACCTTCGGGTTAAACGGCGTGTTTTAAATCTAAGTTTTCCTTAATTTTAGATTTTAAAAACTAAATATATTGGCGGTATTTTAAATATTTGAATAGTACATTAAAAAAAAGGGTAAATATATAGTTTAGGTCCCCCAGGAGGACTCAAAAAGTAAATTTTTTTTAAATCGTTTTATTTTTACGCGAAGATTACAAATCCGGAAAGTGAATTTTTTCATAAATATATGTACAAATATATTTAATGCACTTTGCTCAAATTTTTTCAAGTCACTTGGTTGTTGTTGTAGCGGCAAAATTTTGCACAATTCAGATCATTTAGCTGTAATTACAACTTCAACGAGTTAAACATTTTCTTGAGAAAAAAAAAATACTGACGAAATGATGAACTGATCTGATGCTATAAACGCATATCGGAGATCGTTGAACTCCTTTTCGCACTGGCGGCCTTCGCCGAGCTTCAAAAAAATAACTCTGGTTGATCCAACACCGGGGTGTCCATAGTTCTTTTGTACCGAACTTCTTTCAGCAGTGAAAAAAATAAAATAATAAAATTAAATGTATCACAATTTTTTATTTTTTATTTATATTTAGTAAAAGAAAAATTTAAAACACGTTTTTTTTTTATATACAAAAAAAATAGAATTATTGAAAAAATTCACTTTCCGCTCAAGCATTTGTAATATCCGCGGCAAAATAAGACGATTTAAAAAAAAAATTCATTTTAGAGGCCTCCTTAGTTGGTGGACCTAAACTATACATTTACCATAAAATAATCACCGACAGTTATCAGTATCAACTACGATAATACATGCTAACGTCTGTATATACGGCCATATTGCTTCGTATTTTATATTGATGACTAAGAATAAAGTACTGCATTTATTCTGCCATTTATAACAAAACACATACTTATTTATATATGCATATGTTGATATGGTATATGTACGTACGTATGCATGCATGCTAGTAGAAACATACTTTTACAAATATGGTATGCAATAAAAACTTTTTATTTTATTTTTTTGATATCTTAATATTTCTATATTTTTTTTATTAAAATAAAAATATACAATAAATGTAACAGTTACAAAAAAACGTTTTTTGGTTTTTTTTTCATATTTTAATAGTTCAATATCCCAAATAGTTTTTGAGTTACAGCCTTTTTAAGTGTAGCCACTCAGTTCAATCAGCTTAATCAACTTATCTTTCGAAGTTAATTCACAAACAAATGATCTGATCATGAAATTTTTTATCCTTGTTTTACTTCTACATACAATGACATCGCTTTTTTGATCTGATCAAAAATCGAATTTTGACAGGCCAAAACTTCAATTTTTTTTAAATCGCCGCCATTTTGTCAATTTTTGATTTTTTTTTTACCAGGTCATTATACGTTTAATATCTTCTAGTTTAACGAGAACTTTTTATACTCTCGCAACCTGTTGCTACAGCGTATAATAGTTTTGTTCACCTAACGGTTGTTTGTATCACCTAAAACTAATCGAGTTAGATAAAGGGTTATGTATATATTATATAAATAATCAGGATGAAGAGACGAGTTGAAATACGGGTGAGTGTCTGTCCGTCGGTGCAAGCTCTAACTTGAGTAAAAATTGAGATATCGTTATGAAACTTTGGTAGACATGTTTCTTGATACTGTGAGGACGGTTGGTATTGCAGATGGGCGTAATCGGACCACTGCCACGCCCACAAAACGCCATTATTCAAAAACAAATAAATTGCCATAACTAAGCTCCACAACAAGATACAAGACTCTTATTTGGTATACAGGATAACAATAGGGAGGGGCATCTGCAGATAAAAATTTTTTTTAAAGTGGGCGTGGTCCCGCCCCTAATAGGTTTAATGTGCATATCTCCTGAACCGTTAATGCAATAATAACAAAAATCACTGGAAGCAAATTCTTTTAGAACCTCTACCTACAGTGTGAAAATGGGTGAAATCGGGTGGCAACTCCGCCCACTCCCCATATAATGGTACTGTTAAAAAATACTAAAAGCGCGATAAATCAAGCACTAAACACGCCAGAGACATTAAATTTTATCTCTGGGATCGTATGAGATGACTTAATAGAAACCGCGTTCAAAATTAGACAGTGGGCGTGGCACAGCCCACTTTTAGGTGAAAACCCATATCTTGAGATCTACTTAACCGATTTCAACCAAATTCGGTGCATAACGTTCTTTTCATATATATATCTATGTCATAGTGCGAAAATGGGCGAAATCGGACTACAACTACGCCTACTTCCCATATAACACCATTTTAAATTCCATCTGATTCTTTCACTTTCCACTATGCAAATCAAGTAACAATGATTATATCGGGGTAACACTTTGCGTGAATAATACGTTTAAAGTATGAAACCTTGTGACCAAAAATTGTCTAAATCGGACCAAAACTGTTCAAGCCCCTAAGTACTAAATATGTGGACCCCAGTGCCTATAGTTGACCTTCTACCGAAAATATCAGTCAATCCACAAAGAAATCTCAAACGAGTATACTATTTGACTTTGCGAGAGTATAAAATGTTCGGTAACATCCGAACTTAGCCCTTCCTTACTCGTTTATTTTTAGGTTTAATGTACGGAGAAGGCCGGAATCACTGAAGCAGTGGAGGACCTTTGTTTTAGTGCCGTCGGAGATCTCTCTCTCCGTGTATGCTTGAAAAATATATAAATCTACGCTGAAATTTTCAAAACAATCGATACAGTAGTTTTTTTTTATACAAACGTACATACTACGCGTGCCCCTTAATACCATGATTATTCGATTTCCTTTGTTTTAAAGATCGTCAGTCATTCACTTGAACTCTCAACGATTTTTTACACACTTTATGGAGAAAAACAATTTCGCTAAGCATGTACTTAAATTAATAAACCATCTTTGTGCTCCAATTGCATTTCCAATTAATAATGCTTTGTTTGCAGCTATATACATATGTACATATTTGTATATGCGGCGGTAGGTATGTAAATACAAATGTTTCACAAAAGTACCCAAACAATATGTACGTAGATATGAAGATTAAATGTACCTAATTTAACAATTGTAACAAATTTTATAAATGAAAATAATATATAGATATATATATTATAAACGGTCTCTCACACTCTATATAGTTCAAGTTAATTATGTTCATACGTACATAAAATAAGTATTTAGCATTCAAAATAGAAACTAAAACGCCGGCAATAACCTATTTAAAACTACGTGTTATACTTACATAGGTATTAATGTAATTACTTACAAATATAGATCACTTGCTTTTTCGAATACTATGACAAAGTTGAACAAGTAGTTAACTTTTAGCCACTCCTTTATTAAAGATTGATTACTCACGTCTCAATACTTCAACTTCAAATTGTACTTTAAAAAGAAATTCAAAAAAAAAGAAAGCGAAAGCATAAATGGTACTCTTCCTGGTGGCAAGGAAACATTGCCGTTCGCACTATCGGAAAGGCGACGAAACCCATCACACGCATTTATACAAAACATTTTCATATCTTCTGTGGACGATGGATAGAAATCATGATTCAATAATATTAGGTTGTGTCCATACGAAGCGTGCTTCCCCTTACGAAAAAGTATTTAATCCATAACACCAAAAGATATGTTGTATTGTTTTTTTCGTGATTTTTCTCTTAACATTTAAATAATTTTGTGTGATTTATAATCTATTTGTATTCAGTTATCACTCAAATAATATATTTTCATTGGTTGAAATCTTTCAAACATTTATTTTTGAATCATAAAATCGAAATTTCTAATTCCAGCACATTTGACTTATCTGACTCACTTTTCAAAATTTAAAATACTTTATTGTTTTCTCTTAATGAATGAAAATGTAACAATTTATTTTATTGTAACTATAAATCTTAGCTGTTGAAGTTTTTGTTTCTGTAGCTGAGTTTCTGATCTCAACACTTAAAAAACTCTCTTGCCTTTTCTGACCCGGCCAATTCCACACGTATGCGCATTGCGCCCCTCGCGTCGGTTAGGCGGGAGGAGGGTAATCGTTGGGTTATTATTAAAAAAAAAACAATACAAAGCAAAACGGCAGATTTTGAAATTATGGATCCAATTACTTTTAAAAAATTGTTTTTGGGCTATCGACACAATCTTAATCTTATCAGTAATAGTAACACTATATTTTTCTGAAATTTTAATCTTGAAATTTTTTCTTTCTGTGGTTTATTATATTAAGATAATTGGATGTAGATATGGGAAATAACTATAACTAATTTGTAAACAACCTGTACTTATGCCGTTGTTGCTAATGTAACAATTATCTAAACCCCGCTTGATGGCAACTTATCCAGCAAGCGACGATTATAATGGCAATATTTTGAAAGAATTTATATTTCATGAATAAGGAAAAAAAATCATCGAAATTTTCGAGTAGTTTTGACAAATCGGACTTAAGAAACTTTAGCAAACGTTCCTCTAGGGCTCTGACAATTTACGTATGATTTGACTAATAGTTGTTTTCTGGGTTGTCATACGAGAGTAAGACGGCTGTTAAACATTCAATATATACTTATATTGACATCGTCGGTTGTTGTTGTCGCGATCCATATCACAAAATGTATAAATGCTTTGAAATGCAGATCGCGCGGTATGTAGTGAACGTTTAGCACATTTGTATATAAATTCGATGCTTAGGTACAGGTCCTCCTAAGAAGGATCTCACTTGGACAGCCTAGAACGCTGGTTCGTTGTGGTACCTAAAACTTCTAAAAACTGAATCACAAGACCCATACAGATCGACAAGCGCTTTGAGCTTATAAAAAACTTATTGAGACGGCTAATATCAGTTTCGAATATGTCTTCTGGTTCGCTGAAGGTAAGATTATCGATATGTTTCATCATTAGTATTGCAAAAACCGGACAATGGAGGAGAAAGTGCCTGGTTGTTTCCACCTCACCCTCCCCCTTCCAACTAGCATCCGGTAAGATTGTAAGCCTTACCGCATGAATGCCTATTGGACAGTGTCCATTAAGAATTCCTACGATTGCGGTGGGATGAACTTTATTCAGGGCGAGTAGTTCACTTGATCTCTTGCATTCGACTTTAGGTCAGAAGGATCCCGAACAAGAGCTTCTACTCACTGATCGCCGACCAGCACCTGTTAAGAGTATGCGTGTCCATTGGTCCAGTGCTGGCTAGCTTATCCGGTTTGTAGTTACCAGCGATTCCGCTGTGACCAGACACTCAAACGAGCCTGATGTTGAAGTAGCTAGATGCTATTTCTAGTGAAGACAGACACTTCTTGACTATCTCTGATTGCACGGTTCGCGCGCTCAGAGCTAGTATTGCCACTCTGCCTCCCTAAAAGAGGCTGCACTTCGTAGCAGTACGTCTACCGCTACCTTGATAGCAGCCACTTCTACCTGAAAAACACCACAGTGATTCGGTAGCCTAAAGCAAAGATTGACAGAGAGCGCCTTACAGAAAACTCCTCCTCCAACCTTCCGTCCTAGCTTCGACCTATCCGAGAAAAAGTTTACCGCGCATCTTAAGCCCCAGAAAGAAGGGAGAGCCACGTTTTTGATCTTATATCTCCTAGTAAGTAAAAGTTTTAGTTATACTTGGGTTTACAGCTAAGCCGCTTCTATTCAACCAGGTACCCTTCGGCTAGCTCGTTGACGGTATTTATGAATTTTAGCTATAGGAACAACATCGTCAGCGTTGGTTATCATATCGACCGACCGGTCTTTGATATAGGCATGCTGGGACTTTAACAGTTTACAAATCGGTATTCTGATCCTAATGTACAGATCCATGAGCCTCTTCAACGTTTACAACCTATCCTCGCTAATGGACCTAAAATCCTTCGCACCGGCGGGAGAACTTTTTCCGGCTTTCGTTTACAACAGGAACGAGGATAGGCTAATGGGCCTGAAATCCTTTGCACCGACGTGAGACCTTTTTCCTTCCTTCGGTATAAACGTAACCTTAACCAGTCTCCAGGCCTTCGCAATATGGTATAATCTAACACAATTCGCGTAGATGCGGGCCAGCCAGTTGCATGACATCAGGACGCGGGGACTGAAGAGTTTGAATGAGTTTAGCGCCCAGGCCAGGAGCCGTTCATTCAAAAGCTCCTTGAAGGCTGTACAGCCCTCCCGGTGCTACCTCAATGGCACTTCTTCAACGAAGCATCAAGGAGGGGTTTCAACGACTCTTTGCTGCTCACTGTCCAGTCACTATTCGCATTTCTTAGATACCACAGGTGAGAAGGATTTTTCGCGAGAATGCTCCTAAGCCGTGAGGACTCATGACAACCCTCTATATTACCGCAGAAGGCTCTCCCCGAGTCTCTTTTGGCTTTCCTCAATTCGGACTTGTATATAGCTAGTCGTGTCTTATATAGCGCACAATCGTCACTAGAGCCACTTTTACGTGCTTTGTTAAAGAGTCTTCTGCTCGAAGATCTGATTTTCCTTATCTCCGATGTCCACCAAAAGAGTTTCCCTTTACCTTTCTGGGTTTTCGGAGGACAGAAAATTTCAAGAGTAGTTCTAAGAGCGCGGTTGGAAGAGCTGATCGAAGCTTCCTGCAATGCAGGTCCCAATTTCTGAATTGAAGGTATTTCTGAAATTTCTATAAGTTCTGTGCTCCGGGTGTAAAGCGTCCAAGCTTCTCAACTCAGCAGGTCCGGAGTTGGCTCAACTTCGTCGTCATGCGGCACATAGGCCGAGGCAATCCAGAGTTCTCCAGCATTGTCCTCCATCCTAGCAGTGACGATATTCTCGTTGCTGAAATTAGGTGAAAGAAAAAGTTAAGTTCGATTAATACCAACAAACCGGCTCTGGTTTTACCTGTATTGCATGCAGCCAGGGGCTTTGGGGCTCTTTGTCCTTAATCTAGAGATGCCATTGCTGTTTAGGCATGGATAGGGTCGATGTCCATTTTCGAGTGGATCTCTTCTCCTTCTCTTTCATCCCCGGCAGGCAAGGGGTCATCCATTTCCCCTGCTGCAGTCGTACACACCAAGCTCTACTGAGGTTCGGAGCATTCCCTCTCTTGCGCCCTCTGCCGCTTAATCGAAGTTTGAGGCTCGTTCTGACGTGTTTTTCCTTCGTTCGCTCCGCCTAGCATCGTTTTGGCCCAATCAAGTTTACTAGCATGCTGATCAGTCTGCTTGCTACCGTACCGCTACAAAATCTTTGCAGCCAACCGACGGTCTGACTTCAGATTTTTAGCTGCGGTCGCACACTTCCTCACAGGATCTTTAGCGTTCGCTGGGGACCCCGTGCCCCCATGAATTTAGCAGAGATTCCTCTACTAGTGCTGGCGATTCTCCTCGAACTTCCGCCCTACTCATGGTTTCTGTCGGCGAATTCCTACCGACTTCTCCTAACTTACCGCCCATCCGCCTTCATCACGTCGTTATATTTCCCCACTCAGAGCCGCTATTAACCTCCTGGAAAGATAGTCGCCATATATGGTCCCAAGCTTATCTCAGTTACGAGGCCAAGACGAGGGTTGACGCAAGCTCTTGTGAGGCAATGCGTTTAAAGCCGACCAGCGCAAAGGAGGAGTCATTTCGTACTCTGAGGCCTGTCATGGCTTTAACGGGACGGAGGAAGACTTGACATCAGTTCATCAGCCATTTCTGCAGGGTGTCACCCCTGCATACTCCGTTTGAGTCTAAAGGCTGTGAAGGCTGCAGTTCAATAGTCCCCAGTTAGTCGTGACGTTCAATTTACTTGTCAACCCGCAATTCTTAGGGTGTGTGCCAAAACGTAACTCTTTGTTGAGTTTGGGTGACAAATTTTACTATGCTGTATGTGCCAAATAGAATGTACAATTTTTACTCTTCAATTTCAAAATAAACTCAATTATAACGGTTGTCTTAATATTTAAATGATTAAATACATTTCTAAAATTAATAAAACTTAAAGCAAATAATTTGCTTTTCTAATTAAAATTTTAAGCAGAAAATGAAAAATTAAACGAGTTTTTATTAAAGATTTGTTATTACTTGATAATTTTGGGTAACATGTTGCCTACTGCTACGCTAACTTGCATTCTATATTTGTACAAGATGCGTTCCAAAGTAAACAGTAAAAAAGTAACAAAGTAAACTCTAGTGGCGCCATCTATATGCTACGAAAGCACTCATGGTGTGCAACCGACTTGCTGGAAAATCGTGAGGGGGCTCCCCAAGGACTATCAGGTGGATGTACACCATGATCGTGAGACCGATTATCACGTATGAAGCGGTATCTTGGGTTTCTAAAGCATCGCAGACTTCGGTAGGACTTAAACTGTGCAAAGACTTGCCTGCATCTGCGCGTCGGGCGCAATGCGTACTGTGTCCGACATAGCACATAAAATAGCGCTGATATAGCATTTGTAATGACAATTGATAATTTAAATCAAACTTGGTTATATTTGGCACAAAAAAAAATTCTTAAATCCAAGCCATTTGTTAATAAACTCAACCTTATGGCAGAAACTCGTCGGGACGTTGATGAAATTCTGAAAAAATTATGAGCAAATTTGAGTGCGGTTTGATGTCCTCTATATAGTTTAAAATCCTTCAGTGATTCAATGAAAGAAACTCAAATGCCACCATCAAGCTGAAGTTAGAAATATAGAATGCGTTCTTGTGGATTTGCTATTTCTGCGCGACCAACGGAAAGCATTTTTTTAATGAATGCAAAATCGTTGCCGATAATTTTAAGCATGTCGAGACGATGTTACTATCAGCAAGCAAAAAATACACGGAGATGATCTACATGAAGAAGTTATGAAAATTTCAGTAAATACGAAAGTGAATTCA